GTCACCTAATGTGAAGAGAGGACTCTTTGGAAAAGACCCTGATGCTGGGAAAGATTGAAGGCAAAAGGAGAAGAGGACAGCAGAGGATAAGATGGTTAGATAGCATCACTGAAGCAATGAGCATGAAACTGAGCAAACTCCAGGAGGCAGTGAAGGACAGGAAGGCCTGGCGCGATATGGTTCATGGGCTCATGAAGAGTCAGACACGAATTAACGACTGAACAACAACAAGAAAGCAAAGGAAAGCTTAAGTAAGATGGTAAAATCGTGATGTTTCACTTAGCGACCACTTCACTTACTGACCAAATTGCCAGCCCCAATTGTGATCACTAAATGAAGACTACCTGTATTGCCTATTTGAGGTTGAAATTTACAGAACTGTCAATGTGATTTAAGCAATTGTTGCTTATCATAGATGCATATGTTCTATAGAATTTGGATAAATTCCCAGTATTTGAAACTTATCAAAATGTCAAGAAATATGGACTGTTGGTGCATGGGAAACAACCAAAATAATTATTACATAATAGGAAGTGAAATCTACATCTGATCTGCAACAATGTACTTTACTGCATATATGCTGACATATTAATATTTAAATTAACATTTCCTTTTGAAAGAGAGGTAAGGAAGCTTTCATGCAACTTATCGAATACTGTGATGTTCTGTTTATAACATGTATGACTAAATAAAAATCCAGGTATTTTTTCCTTATTTATATCTTGCTTAAATTTTACCTTTTTAACTTATTGTCGTCAGCATATATACGATATAGTCTATTTAATGAAATGCATAATTTTTATTTGTCAGAGTCCTGAATTAGTTGTCATCAAAACTGCAGAAATGTAATCCCTTTGATCTTGCTCCTTGGCTGCAAATGTTGTGGCTTCTTCACCTGGTTTTGGAGCAATGGTTCATTATGACTTAACAGAAAACTCAATGAAGCATTTCTTATGTCAGAGGAAATACTGGCAAGTCACCAAATTCAAAGGAGCCCTGCCTCTGGGAATGTTCATCTTGAATTCTTGTAGCTGTGTTTCTTAGTGCCAATATTATTTTATTTCATCTGAACTGCTCTCCTGTACAATGGGAGAAAATGCCCAGAGAAACTGAAATACCTATCAGCTTATATCCAGCTTCCTTTTCTACATAATGAGCAATATCTACTTACATTAGTCAGGCATCTCTTTCTCTACTGTGGAAAACATCATAAACCTCATCTGTAAAGAAGGAATTTTCTCCCAGTATCCCAGCCGGCTGCTTCAGAGGATTTCAACTCTGGAACCCAGGAAGCTATTGGCAATATGTGATGCACTCAGGGTGGGCTTATGGGTATCTTATTATCTTGGTCAGAAACTGCATGTACTTTAACAGAATCAAATGTAAGAGACGCAACATGGCATCATATTTTTAATATAATTCCCATTCCCTCCCTTTTCCCACTTTCCATGCTTTCAAAGACCTTACCTTCATAGCAATCCCGTACTGTGCCAAAGTAAACATAGTACTGGTCATTGGTGAAGAAAAGGAGACTGAGCCATGAGTCAACAGCGTAAATGGGAACAATGAAAAGAATCCTGACAATATAGCGTTGCTCATTGGGGCAACTGTAGCAGCGAAGATGCATGTAGATCTAAGAGAAAATGGAGACTGGGATCAGAATCCAATCACAGAGAAAAGCAAATCAATGAAAAACTCAGAGTGGAGAACCAGAAACCCCAAACAAGAGTACGTTTCCCTAGCTTTCTTATATTGAAAGATAATAATTTAGTCAGATTTATTCACTAGAAGTTCTGTCTTTACTCATTATAGTTATATTCTGCTTTTTCTCCAGGAACTGAAGGTGACATACATCATATTTCTCCTCTAACTTTATCCCAGAAAATAATCTTGTGAGATTTACAACACTAGTTAGTAAACATACAACTTACTCCAAAATTAATTCAATTATATTATCTATAATGCCTTTATTTTAAGTTAGAAAGCAGTTGTCTTGCAGTTCATACAATATGAAGACGTAAACTTTTGTTTTCAGTGAAATTCCAGCAATATCACAAAACTTAGGAAGTTTGCCAATTTAATGTTACAAAAACAGAATTGGGGATTTTAATGAGATTATTTTCCATTGGGGTTAATTTTAATTTCAAAGTGTACCCTTTTATGCACGAATTTTAACCTAATAGGATGTAATCTATGATTAGTCACAAAACTCTGTCTTCTACTGAAAGATAAGGATGGTAAAGTCAACTAGTTTCACTATTAGACCAGTCAGACACAGCCTACAACCTGATCAGTTAACGATCTGAAATACAATGCATAATTTCAATATAGTACTAAAACACAAATGCACATTGCATACAGCAGATTATTCCCAACTTTGTGTTGTAGCAAAGCTTTGTATCATACGATTACTGTCATAATCCTATTATGTTTTTGGAAACCAAAAACAGGAAATACTACAACACACCTTTTAAATTTGCAATAGACATTATAAAGTCAATAATTACTGTACATCGTGCTCTCACAAGACAAAAAATTCAACTTTTAAAAAAATTGAAACATATACCTAAAATACTGTTTAATTTAATAGCATATCTCCACTGCAAGTTAATATTTGGACTGGTTGGAAAATGTTGACTATTAATAGTAATTCTGAAATAGGGCTTTTCCTGGGCTGAATGTTTTTTCTAGACAGCAAAATGCCAAATATTTCAATACAGGAACTACTAAAAAAGAAAAAGAGGTTTGGGGTGCACAAAACAATTTGTTTTGAACCATTTTGAGTGTGAAACTTCATGTCATATTCCACTAAAGGTAGAGAACTGGGTCTGAGTGTGAAACTGGTTATTGTAAGCATTAAAGTTTTTTAAGCACTTTCAAACTATTTGAAACAATGGTTTCATACTCAGAACGGGAGCTCTCATTCTAAAGATGAAATGTTCAATTTTGTGCCCCAAACAGTTTAAAACAAAACCAACTGTGCCAGATAATTCAGTTACAACAAGCTATCACATAAGAAACAATGCAAAAATGTTGACTCTCAGGCTTCATAATAGGAGCTAGCTATTCAACATTTACATGAGTAAAGAAGAAATACTGTGCTTAAGGACATTCAGGAAGACATTAACAGACATCCCTGAGTTCTTAATCTATAAATATAACTATAAAATTATATTATAATGTAATATAATTAATCAATATTTATAAATT